ACCATCATTTCGGAGTCATTCCAGAAGGCTCTGGAGAAGGGAATCGAGGTGCTGACCAACATGGCCCAGCCCGTGGAGCTCAGTGACAGGGAGACCCTGCTGAACAGTGCAACCACTTCCCTCAACTCCAAGGTACAGCTGCACTTGCACTGGCAGCTCCAGCCCAGCCAGGCCCTGCAGATTCCAGGTCTAAGGCAGAGCAGTTCCATTTTCTGTACATCCCCCAGAATGGCTGCTCTGTCCGTGCCATGGAGCAGCCATGAAGGAGATTCTTTGTTAAGACATCTTTGCTTCAAAATTCTGGCATCAGATATTGAAACAATATTGTGAAACTGCTGTTCATCAGCATGAAGGCTCTCACCATGGTTTCTGTACTGTTGAATCCCTTAGGTTGTGTGTCAGTATTCCAGTTTACTTTCTCCAATGAGTGTGGATGCAGTGATGAAGGTGATTGACCCAACTACAGCCAATAGTGTGGACCTCAGAGATATTAAAATTGTGAAGAAGTTGGGGTAAGAAACAATTTGTTATTAGACAAATTTTGTCTCTGTGACCTCAGTTTCCCAGAGTGCTCCAGCCATTTGTTTGTTTCCAGGGGCACAATTGATGATTGTGAACTGGTTGAGGGACTCGTCCTGACTCAGAAGGTGGCAAACACCGGCGTAACCAGAGTGGAAAAAGCCAAAATTGGCCTCATTCAGTTCTGCTTGTCTGCTCCAAAGACAGATGTAAGTCACACTGTGGCTAGAGCAAATGCTCATTCTCTAGGACTTGGGACAAGCAAATGGAATAACAAATATTTTTTTAAGATGCTGTGGTGTGAACTCTATGCCACATCTAGAGTAAAGGGCTGCTGGGTCCTGAAAAATTATAGTTGGTATAAAAATTTGATTAAATTATAAATTATGTTTAAATTACTTAAAATTGCTAAATGTTAAACATTGCTTAAACTTAAATTCAATGTTACCTGAACTGTCTCTAGTAATTTTTTACTGTTATGCTTATTTGTTTAGAATTACAGCATCTTCCATTAAAGAATGTGGCACATTTTGACACTTGCTTTTCTGGTTTTTTTATTTGAAACAGATGGACAACCAGATTGTTGTTTCTGATTATGCTCAAATGGACAGAGTGCTGCGTGAGGAGAGAGCCTACATCCTGAACCTGGTGAAGCAGATCAAGAAGGCTGGCTGCAATGTGCTGCTCATTCAGAAGTCCATCCTGAGGTACCTTAATACCCAGGCACCGTTGGAATTGTTTGGAAAACTGAAGCCAAACACACTTGGCAGAGTAACAGTGGCTGTGCCTTTAGAAAGCACCAGCACTGTCTGTATTTTGAGTTTGATGACATCCTTGCTTTGTACTCTGAAGAATTTGAGCCCTGGGACCTGACTCCTTCCCTCTTGTTTTTAGGGATGCTCTCAGTGACCTGGCCCTCCATTTTCTGAACAAAGTTAAGATCATGGTGGTTAAAGACATTGAAAGAGAGGACATTGAGTTTATATGTAAGGTAAGGTGGGTCATATAAATGAGCAGCAGTGTTTTAAAATCTACCCCAAAACTAACTGCCCAGCCAGGGCCAGTTTATTGTGACATTTTCAAAAGTTTCATGTTTTGACTATAATGGAAGAGCAGACAGCAGACATTGCCCTAAAAAACATTCCTACTCTGCTGAGCAGCCACACTGCTGTAGAAGGATTCAGGACAGATGTAAAAGCTGCAGTCCCTTCTGCTTTTTACTGTCATAAGCAGAAGAACAACATGCAGTGTACTTGCTGACTCTGCAGTCAGCCTCTGGATTAATTTTTTTCCCCCATTATTTTTCCAGACAATTGGAACTAAGCCTGTGGCTCACATTGACCAGTTCACCCCTGACATGCTGGGCTCTGCTGAGCTTGCAGAGGAGGTCAACTTGAACGGTTCTGGGAAACTAATAAAGGTGAGTGAGGGACAAAATGTTAATAACTACTTGCCATCTGTCTCTTGTTTTAAGAACTGGTGGCTTTGATGTTTTTTACTGTGGAATTTATTACATTTAAGTAGCTGTTTCTAAGCTCTGAGTAGCCACTGACTTCAGCAGTGCAGTGGTTTTGCTTGGCCAGACATCAGTGCTGTTACAGAATTTGAAAGTGCCAGTGGCAGTGTCTTTTTTGTCCCAAGTTTTTATTTCTTCCCCAGTGTCAGTATCTGGCTTTATGTTTTAGATTACAGGCTGCACAAACCCTGGGAAAACCGTGAGCATCGTGGTCCGCGGATCCAACAAACTCGTGCTGGAGGAAGCCGAGCGCTCCATTCACGATGCCCTGTGTGTCATTAGGTGCTTAGTGAAGAAAAGGTAACGTCTCAGTCGGGTTAATTAGTAACTCACAAAGCCTGGTTGTGTGTGCTCTTGTGTGAGGTGAGGTTTGATGGGCATTCCTGTGCCTCAGGGCTTTGATTGCTGGCGGTGGAGCCCCGGAGATCGAGCTGGCGCTGCGGCTGAACGAGTACGCGCGGACGCTGAAGGGGATGGACTCCTACTGCGTCCGTGCCTACGGGGATGCACTCGAGGTCATTCCCTCCACCCTGGCTGAGAACGCGGGGCTCAACCCCATCTCCACGGTGACAGAGCTCCGAAACAGACATGCCCAAGGAGAGAAGACAGCTGGCATTAACGTCAGGAAGGTGAGGAGGGGTTGGAATAGCTGGGTGTTACAGGAGACATGCTTAACCTGCTAAGGGCTGGACTAGGGAGAGGGCAAGGTGGTAACCTCCCTAAAATTAGCAGAGGGAAATTACAGCTTGTTCTCTCAGGAGCTCACCCTGAGCATTGATAATAGCAGATATTAAATGCTTTATGCACATGACAGGAATCATCTCACGTCTCCTTAAAAGCATTTCAGCTACAGCAAAAGATCCATTTAGAATGATCCATCAATAGGATCTGCAGTGGAAGGTGTCTTAAGTTGGGAGTAGCACTATAGCTCTTTCTCAGTTGGCACTGTTGACCTTTGTTGTTGGCTAATTTTGACTGGATGTGTCAAGTGCTTGGGGAGAGAAGATGTGTGCTGTAATGTCCCTGTTGCAGGTGAAAGCCCTGTGATAGTCCAGGAGCTGATTGCCCTCAACTAAAAGAAAAAGTGCTAAATGTGACTGTAGTGTGTCTTGCACAAAGTGAAGGCTCCTTGTTCCCCTAGGGTGGCATTTCCAACATCCTGGAGGAGCTGGTGGTGCAGCCTCTGCTGGTGTCTTTGAGTGCACTGACCCTTGCCACAGAAACCGTGCGCAGCATTCTCAAGATTGATGATGTGGTGAGTGGTGCTGGCATCTTGGTTTGGGTTATCCTTCCTCCACAAGCACCAGCATGCTGTCATTCATCTGCTGGGCTTCAAAATGCAGTTACTGTGTGGAGTATTCTCAGTTTGTGTGCTGCTTAAGACCATTCAGCCTTTTTATAACTGCAGCTAATGAATTATAAATACTACACCATAAAGCAAGGAATTAGAGTCCCTAAAAGGCCAGGATCTTTATCAAAGAAGGAATTGTGATGTGTCCTGTGCTTTCTTCTGCCTGACTGTGTGTCCTCCTGCAGGTGAACACTCGAGGATGAGCTGAGCAGAGATGTGGGGACCATGGTCTCGAGCTCCTGCCCTGTAGCTGGAATATGGACTCCTCACCAAAAGCGCCTGTGTGAATTGGCTTAAACTCCAAGACTGATGTACTTTGATCAGGTTTAACTTAAGTAACAGTTGGTTTTCAGAAAGAAAATGCTGTTTTGTCAATAAACACACAGTAGTCTACCTGACTCTTTGCTGTATAATTTTGTTGGAGTTTGTTACATTTGGTTACTTTTCTCTGCTCCTCTTTAGGGCTGAAACTTTTAAGGTGACCAATCTCTTTTTGTGATATATTCTAAAAACACCCCTGCAGTGCACTCTAGTAACACTTAGCTACCTTAGAGCTGCCTCTCGCAAAGCTTTCCCTGAGGCAGTGGTGGTTCTGCCCTCAGTGATGCCTCTAGGAGGATCTTTGCAGTGGGAGCACCTCCCCTTCCTTGCTCTCCTGAGCGCTGCGCTGATTCCTGATGCCATCACATGAGCCAGAGCCCTGCCCAGGGTGTTCTTCACACGGTTCCCTCTCCTGCCTAATTGCCTTTCCCAAAGCTAGCTGAGAGGTTAAAAGTACACTGTTCTGTTAATAATGCAAATTAGCTTTCCAACTTCTAATTCTTAGCCTGACATATTGAATTAACCCTTTCATCTCCATTGTTGCTATATTGAAACAACCTGATTCCTCTTAGTGTTTAAAGGAGAGTGTTCCATTTCTTCTCTCATTTCCATTCATGATGGGTTGGAGCTGGAGCTTTTGAGTGAATTTCCAGCGTGGTGTTGATCTGCTGTTGTGCCAAGTAGAACAAATAGAATAACTCAACTACTAATTAATAAATTAGACAATTGATTTAGGCATTAATGCTCTGCATTAATTATTCATTGTCTGTTTAAAATTGCAAATAGTGCCTTACCCCACAGGGTCACATCCAACAATGATCTTAGTTTAGTTACTATTACTAAAGCTTTCATCCCCCATTATCACAGAGTTACAATTCTTGACAAGAATTACAGCAATTGTGTGTGATTTCATCACAAAAAGTATTTGTGATTACACTACATTAAACAGGTCCATCCAGCATTAATTCTTCTTTGTAGAGGAAGAATGTTCCTGCTTGTCCTGATAGAGGATAGACTATTCCTAGGGCAGAATGTTCCTGGTTTAAGGTAGAATATTCCTAGGACAGAATATTCCTGCTTCTCCTGGTTTAGGATAGACTATTCCTAGGACAGAATGCTCCTGCTTGTCCTATAGAGGATAGAATATTCTTAGGGCAGAATGTTCCTTGTTTCGGATAGAATATTCCTGGCACAGAATATTCCTGTTTATCCTGGTTTAGGATAGAATATTCCTAGGACAGAATGCTCCTGCTTAGCCTGGTTTAAGCTTACCCTGATACTGCTTACCTGAAGTACAAACTTCAAGATGGAAAAACCTTCTTTAATAACTTGAGGGCGCGAAAAGCGCGGGCTGGCCAGCGAGCATTGCATGTTCCCACTAAAACCCTGTGAGAAGTCGCCTGGAAATCCGCACGGGCAGCGGCGGCGAGCGGGCGAAGCCCAACCCGGCCCCGCCCGTGTCCGGCGGCGGCGGCAGCGCTGGGGCCGGGCGTTAACGCGCCCCGCTCCGCCCCGGGGCCGCCTCCGCGAGGCGGAGCGGAACGGAGCGGAGCGGAACGGAGCGTAACGGAGCGGAGCCGCCTCCCGGCTGCTCTCGGCATGGAGGACGCGCACCGGGCCGCCCGCCTGGCCGCCTCCTGCCTCCGCACGCCGCTCGACCCGCGCACACGGGCGCCCGCCGCGCTCTACGAGCGGGGACCGCCGCCCGCCGCCGCGCAGGTACCGCGGGCACGGCCCGGGCTTCCCCCGAGCCCGCTCTGCCCAGGGCTCAGGCGGGGGGCACCGGGGACACACACACACACACACGGGCGGGGGACAGCCGGCAGATGGCCCGGCCGCGGCGCCGATCCCTTAATGCGCTTGTGGAGGCGGCTGCGGAGCAGATGGAGCTGCCGGGCCGGGCCGGGCCGGGCAGGGAAGGGAAGGGAAGGGAAGGGAAGGGAAGGGAAGGGAAGGGAAGGGAAGGGAAGGGAAGGGAAGGGCCGCGGCGGCTCCGCGGGGCTGCGTTTGTGCGCACCGCTGCGGGGAGGCGGAGGTTCGGTGTGGGCGCTTCAAACTCGCTGCTTCGATCCCCAAAGTCCCATTGCATCAGGGAATTCTCCAACATTTAATGATTTTTGCAGTGAAAACCTGACAAAACATAGGCAAGATTTTGTTGTTGTTGTTGGAGTGTCAAAGCTTATTAAAATACCTCTGCGTGTAAAAGTAGTACTCAATTTTTTTTTTAATGTAGAAACTAGCCCATAACTTTTTAAAACATGCTGCCTAGAACAAAATGAAGCTTTTGTGATGCTTTAATAACTTCTCTGACTAGTGTAAGCTTCAAAAGTGCTTAAAGAAAATTAACTGCACACAGCTGCAAAGTGACAAACAGTATTGGAAATGTAAGTATTGGAAATATAAGCCGTGCAGAATCCCTGTCATTTCACAGTAAGTTATGGAAATGGCATAAATATTTATGCACCACATCTCTAATGATTTATTTTTAGAGTGGTTATGGAACTAGGAGGCAGAGAAGGTTCTGTTTGCTTGTAAATAAAGGCATTTTTAGAGCTGCATAGTAATCAAGGAAAAATTACACTTTACAAAATAGTTGCTTTTTTTCTTTTGGTAAGTCCTTTTGATCATATTTCCTCTTATAAACATATTGATTACAGGGCAGACTTGGGAATTTTTACAGGCTTTAAATAGGACCCTTAGGATAAAAATTAATATGCAATAGGATTATTCTACGTACTTCTACATTAACATTTGTATACAGGTATCTCTATTTGTGTTACTTTACTATTCCTTAGACTTAATTAGGCTAAAGCAATATTAAGAACCTTGTTCCCCTTCCTTCTAGCAGAAAAAAAATTACGAACATCTCTTCTAGGATGGCTTTGACTTGGATTCAAATACCAAGAGAGAGCAGGCCTCCCCTCCAAAGAGAGACAAGTGGACAGACTTTTCCAAAATGCACAATTCAAATCAGGAGTATTACTTGAAGCTGGAAGAGTTGAAGAATGCCCACATGGAGACCATGGCAAAACTGGAAAGTATGTATCAGAACAAGCTGTATTTAAAAGGAGTACAGGCCTTGGATAAGACGAATGACACTTCTCCAAAGTGCTGTAGGTAAGTTTGGGGGCACTTTTTATTTGAAGATTCCCAAATGCTTTGCAGGCAGCTGTAAAACAGCAGGGTGTGTTTCTGGGCTGGAAAGTGTTCCACTCCCCACCTCTCCTAACCAGATAATCAGAGAAAAGTGAGTTTTGGTGATAGAAAGGCTCCTAACCTTGCTAATGGTCTGTGAGGTTTCGAGGTGGGTGTGCAGCAGGGGTTGGGCAGCACATTTAGGAAAGCACAGGCCCTTTCCCAAGTCAGGAGGTGCTGACTTGGTGATCAGCACTAAAACCAGGGTCTGCTTTGAGTACCCTGTGTGCTGCTCTTTTCCCTTCTCTCCCCACTCAGCCACTCGTTTTTGTTTCTAGTGATGATTCCTTAGAGTGGAAGTCACCAGTTTTGCATCAATGTTGGACTGGCTCAAACCAAGTTTTTTTTTCCCCCTCCTTTATTTTCAAGGCCAACTTGGGACAAGAGTTCATATCAGCCTCTTAACCTGCACAAATCCTTTTCAGACTCAGACTTAAGCGATCCCTTGGGCTCGAGCGTGTCGGACGTGTCTGATGAAGAATTAGTGTTTGAAGAGAACAGCAGTGAAGCTGGATCATCCTCGTTTGCCAAACAGCAGATTGAAAAAATGTGGGATGGGTTCTGCCTGGAAGACTACATGTCCCGTGCCAAGCACAGCCTGCCCAGCTCGCCAGCCTGCAGGAAAGCGAAAGTGAAAGCGTGGTCCCCCAGAGTCACCGTGCCCAAGCCCTTCCAGATGACCATCAGAGAAGCTCAGAAGAAAGAGCAGAACGTCAAATCCAAGTCACAGATTGAGCTGGAAAACCACTTGCTGAAGAAGCAACTGGAGGAGGAAGCAGAGTGTCAGAAAAAGTTCCGAGCCAATCCCGTGCCCGCCACCGTCTTCCTGCCGCTCTACCGGGACATCGTGCGGCGGAACGAGGAGCGCAGGAGGACTGTGAGGGAGAGGAGCAAGCTCAAGCTCCTGGCCACCCAAAAGCCCTTTAAGTTCATTGAGCGAGAGAGGCAAAGGCGTGAAGCCAGGAAAATGCAGTTAAAAGACCTTTCCCCACCTGACAATAAAACCAAAGTGTTCAGAGCGAAACCAGTCCCCAGATGTGTTTATAGTCCAGATTTCCATGACAAGGTAAAGGAGGAGGAGCTCTGCAGGGAAATCAGGATCAGGATGAGAGCTGAGGAGCTGCTACAAAATTCATCTGTACCCAACAGCAGACTGGCCTCAAAAGAGACCAACAAAAAGAAGAAACACAAGAGCACTGAACCAAAGCAAATGGAGCACAAACTCAAGATCAAATCGAGCGTTCCCGATTTTGAACTCCTCCATGAGAAATTCCAGAAACGCCTCCTGCGCCAAAAAAAAGTGAAACCCCTCACGGTCTGTGAGCCTTTCGACCTTTGTACTTCATACATTCCCTCAAAAAAGGACAAGATCTTGAAGGACATGCAAGAGGATGAGGAGAATTTGAAGGAAACACGGTGGCCCTTTGCCTCTCCGAGACGGAAGCCTCAGATGGGGCAGTCAGGGGTAAAGCCACCACTCCTGGGAGAAGGAAAATCCAGAGCTCCCAAAACCACAGAATCCACCAGACGACGGCTGCAAGCCCTAAGGTGACTGCTTGGAGATGCTCTACTTTATGTATGTTTGAAAAGTAGATTTTTTTTTATTATTATTAGTATATATTTGGTATTTTATTTGGTGGTATTTTTGGTATTTCTACATCTATAGTTAATTCTTCCATGCAGTGAATATAGGATTAATTTGTTAATATAAGAGCTTACAGTATAAATCTCAAAATATTTAAATATAGGATTTAATTAGTATTTGTTATTGTTAAAGGAACACTATTGGATTTTTGTCAGGATGTCCCTAAGAAGAAGACAAATGACTTTGGTTTCCCAGGATATCCTGAGTCCCTTGAAATGGCACATACATTGTGTCCTCTCACAGCAACCCTGTTTTCACCCTGTTGTTCTCTTTGGAATCATCTTTGCCAAAGCTTCCTTTGAAGTCTTGCTCTAGGTTTAAAATTAATTCAGCCTTAGTTTATTTTCCCCACCAGGAATTCCCTCGAGGAAAAAAGAAAGCTGGAAGAACAACAAAAAAGGAACAGAAACAAGCAGAAACAAAGAACGAAAAAATTCCAGAAAATTGTGATGGCTCGGGCTGAGGCCAATGACCCACATCAGAGCCTAGCTCAGATGTCTAAACCCAGATTAAAAACATTCAGGTATTTAGTAGCATTCCCCAGAATCCCAAACACCTCATTCAACAATGAGAAGGAGAGGTTTGGGATTGCACTGTATGTTAAACATACAGTGTGTAAAAAAATAGCACAGTCTAAGTTTAGATACTTACATGTGGTAAATTAAACATGGTGCAAGCAGCTGGTGAAAAAGTGGTCAAAATTAGCATTTCAACTGGGAAATTGTTGCCAACCTATATTGAACTCAGAGTATAGAAATATATAGCATATAGAAATATATATATATTCCACATGAGATTATTATAGATTCAGTAACAGGAGAGTCCTGTGTTTTCTCCATTGATGTATCAATTAACAGGAAAAGGTTGTAAAAATCAGAAGGAAAGGGGACAGTGTGGATACAGAATATTATTCCAGACCTGGATACTGCACTGGTGTTGGTACAGCTTGGGTGCAGCAGCAAACCTTTCACAATTCACTTTTGTCCCAGCAGGTGCCCACTGAAGAGGGAAATAAAAGCAGGAATATTTTAACTTCACAGTGTAAGAGCAGTGAGTGAGGAAGCTGCTGGTGCTCAGGAATGGGATCCCAGGTTCCCTGGAGCAGAGATGCAGTGCAAAGACTCTTTGTGTATGACACAGAGAAGAACACGAGAGCCTTCTCGGAGTGCTGTAAGCTGCCACTCCAGATGGCTCCAGCTCTGACACAGCTCTAACCCCATGACTGCTGCTTGGCCTCCTGTCTGGGGCTAATTTAACCCTTTCTGCTTTTCTAATCCTAAGAAAAATAAATCCTGTGTGCACAAGTCTTTAGTGGGTTTGTGATCTGGCCTGGCACAGTGGGACTGCTGCAGTATTGTCAGTTTAAGGTGCTGTTGTGTGGGGATGGTGAGAGGCACTGACTGCTCTGCCCCTGTTCCTTCATGCCTGGGCAGGATTCTGGGGCAGCAGGCACAAATCCTAATTTCCAGTAACCTGGCACACTGTTAATAACAGGAGCTTGATAATCCATGTGTCCTCAAGCACAGGATCTGCTGACTCTGGGACAGAGAGTTAAGAGACACAGTAGGTGACTGTGGATGTGATTTGGGTTTGTTCAGCAGCAAATTTCACACTACAGTGTTCAGCTTAATCAGATGTCAGGAGAGTAAAATGCTGGGGGTCTGGGTGTAAAATGCTGCTGTTGCAAAGCAAGATCACTTCCTGCTGAACCTGATATTGCCCATTTCAGCCCAGCTGGAATGTGTCACTCTGACACTCCCTGCCAGAGGCAGACAGACAGACATTCAGAGCAAGGAATGGAAGTTCACTTCCCAGCATGGTGAGGAGTTCAGAGGTGGTCAGGGGGAGAGCTGGAGGAAGAGAGGTGTAAAAGGCCCCCCTTGATCTCATCCTTGCCCTGAAGTGCCTGACCAGCAGTGGCAGATGTGCCCAGTTCAGAGGCACTGTCCCACTCTGAGGAAGGGTCACATCCCATTCCACCTGGATTATCCAGTGCTCCCTGTGATCCCAGGGATCATTTCAGTTATGAATCCAGTTTCATTATCCTGCTTTATTGACTGGGCCCTTGACAAACCAGCTCAGGAAACAAGTGTTCCATGATCCAGACCGTGGCCACCTCTCTCAGGTGATCAGCTGCTAAAGTAGCAAGATTCTCTCCTTCAGACCTGAAAAGTACTGATTTTTATTTAATGCTCTTAATTTCCTGGGGTGTGTTCTGTTTAATTTTGCTTAGAACAACTGGAAGATCTGTATGATAAGCATGTAAAAAACCCCTAAACATCCAAATTTTTTTTTACCAAAAACTCCAAGAATCCAAACTCAGCCTTTATTTAAGTCCAGTAGCCAGGACCTGCCTCTGCTTAGCCAAGGTGACTCCTTCAGAGATGAATTGTTCAGTACCTCTAATGTATCTTGAAGTACGACAACATTTAATTTGTTATGAGCAATTTAACTGCTGTAGAAAATGACTCCTTGTACTATAAATTAATAATGATTTCTCTTGTACTCTGCTCCCCTTAGGAACAACGAGAAGCAGAGAAGGCAGGAATATTTGCAAGAATTGCAAGAAATGGAAGAAAGAGTAAAACAAATGCCACTGCTTTTTGAAAGAGTCACTCAGGTTGCCTTGTTTCTGAATTACTAATTAATCTTGACTGATACTGAATAAGAAATTTGTGGTCTGACATTTTGAGAAGATACTTCAAAAGCACTTTTCAGGGCAGTGTTTCTCCATTCAATCTCTGCTGCCTCATCTCCATGTAAATGTCAGTGATTTTTGAGATGTGCTTGCACAGGGAACAGAGAACTGTTGTAAATGGTTCAGTTCCAACATGAGTAACTCTGACCACAACCAAGCATTGCTGGTACAGCAGAGTAAAATCTGGGATAAAATTTTCAAGTATTTTGCTATTCTTACCTGCAGTGAATAATCATTTCCAGCTGTCAGCAGCAATTAATGAATCAGAGGATTGATATAAATAAAAGTAACAAAAGCCAGGCATTTAATGCATTAGATAACGTTTAACCATTGTGTTTTTTCTACAGAAAAATGCCAGAATAGCTGCAGAAAAGTATTATTCAAACAGACTGAGAGCACTGGGGATCTGCCCAGAGTTTGTTTCAAAGAAAGGAGGAGCAGCCAAATCACTGCAGTTCTCCACTGCTGGAGATGTCACCTCCATTGCTGGCAGAGCAAGGTACAGATGACTGAAGGCTTTTCTTTTTACCCACTATGTATCTAATAATTAGAAATTTTTCCATGTGTAGATTTAGGGGTTTTTTAATGATTTTCAGTATTTTCCAGGGAACTATTTGACTTTGTGGTATGTTAGCATTAATATGTATTTTTGATTGGTTTTCCTGAATTAAATATTATTTTGTAAAACAGAGGAGAGCTGCTTAACCAAACTGGTTATGTTATGTAATGCACTTCAAAGGAAAAAAAGAAGAAAAACATTCCTTGTTTGTTCCTTTCATCCAAAATTCTGGCAGGTTGCTATAAGTCACTACCTTTAAATTTTAGATTTTTAAAGTGAACCTTATTAAAAATAGTTTTTAGTATCTGTTGGGTGTTGTGATTTAATTGGAAGCAGAAATAATTTTTTTTTAAAAATGCATATATAAGTAATACTGTTGAGTTACTTTCTAGCATAAAAAGAGACTCTTGTGTCCCCCCTTCCCTTTTCCTTCCCCAGTTCTATCCCAGCCAAGGCTACCAGGCTTTGTCCTGGGTTACATAAAGGTGGAAAGCATATTCCCAGAGAATAAAACCCCACATGCAATTTGTCTTTACAGAGTCACCAAGGTTAAAATGAAGAAGATGGAATTATTTGAGGAAGCAGCTGGTGGCAGTCCCCAGTCTGAGCAGTCCTGGGAGGAGGAGGAGGAGGAAGAGGAGGGAAAAGGTGTCAAAACCTCCACCCCAGATGAGCAGGGCAGTGACCTGGAGGATGGGGGTGAGGCCAGAGGCAGCCCTGGTGTCCTTGAGCCTGAATCCAGCTGGCACAGTGACCAGGAGGAGGAGGAGGAAGCCAAGGCAGACCTGTCACTTGGCCATTCCCAGGAGGAGGAGGAAGAGGAGGAGGAAGAGGAAGCAAAGGCAGGCCCATCATACGGTCATTCCCAGGAGGAAGAGGAGGAGGAAGAAGCAAAAGCAGGCCCATCTCTGGACCATTCCCAGGAGGAGGAAGAGGAGGAGGAAGCCAAGGCAGGCCCATCCTGTGGCCATTCCCAGGAGGAGGAGGAAGAGGAGGATGAGTGCAGACCCAGGTCAGATGGGTCCCATGAAGAGGAAGCTCAGTCTGACCCTGAAGCTGAGGGTGCCTTTCAGTATGAGGATGAGGAGTATGAGAGTGATGATTCTGAGGAGGAGGCCAGTGATGAGGAAGGGCACTGAGGAAGGGCTGGGGCTCAGGAACCCCTTCCACTGCTGGCTGTGCTTTTTGAAGCATTTTTTGTATTTGCAATATTGCTTCCTCCAGAAACCATCCCCTCCTGTCCAGAGTCATCACAACACCAAGCAGGTTATGTTCCCTTTTCCTCTCCGGAAAAATTATTACATCATGACCTTTTGAAGTAGCAAAGCCAATGCTTTTTTAAGGTTTTAGGAGGAGTTGGGAACCTGTGTAAAATTTAGATGGAGTTTGTCACTGAACTTTTCAATATTTTAAATATAAACCTTAATAATTACAGAATAAATATGATAAATAAGATATAACCAGGAAGAGTTAGGACAGCTTTTGGAGGCTATGCCTCAGCTTTTGTTAGCATTTCTGGAAAAGAAAAACAGAATTGTGTGGACTAAGGAGATCCAACTGATTATGGTTTCCAAAGATTTCCAGGAAGCATTTCTAGGATATAAAGTGCCAACAAAATATTTGAAAGAAACCAAACTTTTTGTAGGAAAAGAAAGATCCTCATGAATGGGTGAGCAAACCTCGAGGTATTAAAGGAACCACTTATGGAAATCACTTGGAGCAGCAGAGTTTTCAGACTCTGTCAGGGAGGATAATGAGATTTAAGTCAAAAAAGCTGTTCAGAAATTGCATGACAAACATAAAGGGATAAACATTCCAATAAGGAATTGGAAAGAAAAGAAACATCAGCGGTGACAGCAGAGAGATGGAGACACACAGGTCAGGGTGAATTAAACCTCATGAAGCAAAGTACAGCAGTAAAAAATATTTTAAACTAAAAAGAGCCATGTACACCTGTCAGGAGATGAAAAAAGTCTGGCCTAAAAACCAAGTCATGATTTGACCTCTTTTGTTTCTTCTTTTTTTTTTTTTTTTCCCCCAAAGATGATTTAAATGTAGAGAATCCAGAATAACTAATAAGATGAGAGCACTGGAAAAAAACCCTAAAACTGTATTTAAAGAAAAAACCCCAATAACTTCAACATGGTGAAAATCAAAATCTAAAGGTGATGTAATAGAAGCATTTTAAGGCACAAAGCTCATTAGAGGAGAAATGCTGATGAGTTATGCTCTCAGGGAAGCCACCTAGCAGGAGGGAGAGGAATAGGAAAGTTTCTCACAGATTATTGAATATTCTGTCTTTAGTATTTTAATTAATGGCCACAGCACAAAAGTAGGAACATGTTCAAAAATTTGCAAAGAAAATGAGGAAGGTGTATCTGAAAAAAAGGATTTAAAATACCACATGGGAAGAAGGGGGTAACTTTGCATGTGAACTGTAATATGAAAAAATTTTGTAGTGCAAGAATAGTGTTTCTGTATAACAATTATATTTATATTCTGACATAACAAGCCAGAAGTTTGGGATACTGTGCTTTTTGAAGCACTTTTTGTATTTGCAATATTGCTTCCTCCAGAAACCATCCCCTCCTGTCCAGAGTCATCACAACACCAAGCAGGTTATGTTCCCTTTTCCTCTGAGGAAAAAATTATTGCATCATTACCTTTCACAGCTGCTCCAGATGAAGAGAATAACAAAAGAATTCAAATTCTTGAAGGAAATGTTTAAAGCCATCCCTGGTTTGGAATTCATTCTGGTCTCACGTGGAATCCTCAAGGATTCTCTAATGGCAGCAAGCAAAACATTTGCCTGAGCTTGGCAGATAATAGGCACTCTAAAGCTCAAAATATATTATTAAAAATTATTTCTAACAGTGTGTCTGCCCCATTGCCCACGAGCTGAAATCTAACATGAGTTTATATACAGAATACATTTGTCCAGGAATACTGTTTAGTCCATTATTACAAGATATGGCAGCTGCTGGCTTACAAACATTAAACTAATCAGAAAAAGTAGATAAAATGAGATAAAATTTAAAATAGTTTGGTGTCTGTCCTCCTCACCCTTCAGTGGAATTATAGTTTTACATCTCTTTTGGTAATTACTTGGCTTTAGGAAAACAAAAAACAAAAACCCTTGCATACTCCAGCAAAACTCAAAATTGCTTCTTTCTTCAATAGGAATTCCAGGAATTTGAGGAATTAACAAAGACTTACAAACAGTATCAGACAAATTCCTGTTTCTCCTGTCTGCTACAACAACAGCAACCAGCTGGAGCAGAGCAATCAGGGGTGCCAGGGCATGATGAAGAGTCCCAGGGGTGAAGGGCAGCAGGTGACAGGGCCAGCAGGATGTCCCCAGCAGCTGTGGCCAGCCATGATCCGTGTCCTACGGAGCTGCATCCCAGGATTAGCCCCTGGGACAATCCCCCACAGCTCAGGGGCTGTGGCACAGAGGAGGCAGATGTTAGCAGGTCAGAAATACCCTTATTTTCTCATCATTACCACCATGAGACTAGGCTGAATTTCATGAGCACAAACACCATGAAAGGCAGCTGTCACCAGGACTGAAAATAGGAATATTTGCACCTGCACAGCTCCAAACTTGCTACTAATAGTCAGGGCTCGGTGCCATAAGCAGATTACACAATAGTTAGGCAGGCTACAAAAAGAAGGTTAGTGAGATTAGGCAGGTTGCTGATTAACTGTAGCAAGCAGGCTACCAACACAGGCAGGAAATTCTGCTTGCCAGGATAATGAGTACACACCACGTTATTCAGATGATTTCAGACAGCTTTCCACACTTGTACCTGGTTCTCAGGTGAACTTGCTGTACTTTGTCTTCCATGCCATCCCACATTTTTCTAAGATGGGTGAAAGACACACAAAGCATGCTTGCAATAAGTAGTAAAAGTTTAAAAAAAAATCAAAAATCAGCTTTTGGTGTGTGTCATTCTGATTCAGCTGTGCCCTGGGGAGCTCCATCCTGTAACACCTTTATCCCCAAGGTGCTGGAATTGCCAGGGGCACCATCCCAGCTCCTCCAGCAATGAGCTCTCAGATCAGCCACACAAACAGCTGAGTGTGAGCCAACAGCACTTGGAGAGGACCAGCCTGGGTCCTCTTTTTGCAGTTCTCAGGATCTTGGGTCCTTTTTGCAGTTCTCAGGATCTTGGGTCCTTTTCACAGTTCTCAGGATCTTGGGTCCTTTTCACAGCTCTCAGGATCTTGGGTCCTTTTCACAGCTCTCAGGATCTTGGGTCCTTTTCACAGTTCTCAGGATCTTGGGTCCTTTTCACAGTTCTCAGGATCTTGGGTCCTTTTCACAGTTCTCAGGATCTGACCTGTTGGATATTGGGTTTTTTAATCTATCCATTCACCTTAGCCCCAGACCAGAATTGTGACCTGCAAAATGCCATCCCTAGAGAACATGGAAGCATTTAGGATATCTTTGAACTCTGAATTTTCTAACCAAAAATGGGACTGCAGACATTACACAGCAGAATTCCAGCCCAAAGCGCTGCAGTTCATCTGACTGACACACGGGCTGCTCAAGGTGCCACTGCAAAATATCCACTCCTAACACACACCTACCAATGGGTCCATAAAACCTGTGATACTGCAGAGCTGGGAGACTTCCCAGGGCAGCGAGAGCTCCTGTATCCCTTGCTTGTTAAGCAGACTCCCAGTTTACCCCTGTGAAAACCTTCTTTCTCCTGTGCTCTGTTAATGCTGATTTAATTCAGGCCTAGCAAGGCTGAGTTGAGCTCTGCTGGTGGAGCTGGCTGGGTACCTGTTTGCCTGCTCCAGCTTGTTCCTGACCCTGAGAACTGGCACAGAGCCCCTCCTGTTCCCACAGCTCCCTCTCCTCCCTTTCCCACTGGAAGGCAGCTCAGTGGTGCCCAGAAAAAGCCCTCGGTTTCCAGCCAGCCACACAACTCCTGGGTAACATTCAGCTTTGTGCAAAGGCTAACTGGGAAAAAGCTGTTCAGGTTTATGCAGCAGTCAATTCTCTCTCAGACACCTCACAGGCAGCACCACACCCAGCTCAGCTCTCTGCCCCCTCCCACCCTCATACAGAGCCAGCAATTCCAAAATGTGGAAGATACCAAAATCCCATTTGAGGGCACCCAGTTGAACTTTGCACTGCTTACCTGTGACTGCACTCTATTTAACACTAAATGAAAATAAAATTCACCCTGGAAGATGGTTCTGTGGAATAGAACTCTTCTTCTTGAGTCAGAGTTGCCACATCCCAAAAGAATTTTCATTTCCTGCTGCTGCTGGCAGCCGAAGGGGCAGGGAAACCAAGAGGGGAACACCCAGAACCTTCCAGCACTCTCCCTGCTTTCCACCACATTCTCACAAGTCCTGTGTCTTCACAAAGAAAACTCTACAGAGTCTGCAAAAAGCTTTGAACTCCTCAGGCAAAAGAAATTCTGGAAGGGCTAAATATTAGGATAAAAGAGCCTAGTCTGTAGATGAGATGCCTGAAGGATTCTCAGATCAAAGTACAAAATTATCCAAAGAAGCTGTACTTCCCAATTTGTCCACTTACACAAATCATCAGGTAGTTTCCATGATGGGGTTAGATTTGGGGATTTGCCTTTAAATACCAGTTTTATCAAAACCTCAGTAAAACACATTGTGTAAACAATGGCACAGAGATGCTGAAAGTCTGCTTCCCTTTCATTTGTGAGTTGTGCTCCATCCTAACTCACTGCCACAAGCCCCTTTCACACACCACCCACTCAACACAAGCCTCCAGCTCTGCTCTTTCCTTCAGGCAGCATCCTGCAAAAGAATGGAGAAGATCATAGCCTGATAAATTATCTGTAATTTGTGCATAGATGGCTGTGGATACATAAATGACAGCAAGGGCTGAGGCAGAAGGACCTCTTGATAAAGCACCTGTGAATTTTTTTATCCTTTACCAAAGTCTGCTCTCAAAGAACTGTTTGAAATGAATTAAGTTTGTTGCAGAGGACAGGGAGCAGTCCCTCTCCTCTCTCCTGGCTACTTACTGTTCAACAGGGTCCAAGGTTTGTCAAGTTGAGACCAAAAACTCCTTCTGAGCATCCAGTAACTCCCCTGAGCTTGCTGAAGCAGTAGTAATAATCTCAGGAAAACGCTCCAGAGAACAAGAGAAGTTCTTTCCAGCCATTTTGGTGAGGATTAGTGGATGCAGAAGGGGAGGGAAGATCAGATGACTGCTAATAAAGATGGGAAAGCAAGGAATGAGAAGAGCTGTTCATTTATCTCAGTGAGAACACACAAGCACAGCCCAAGTGTGTGTTTCTTATTTTCTGTTTCATGTACATAAATCAGTTCTCAAATGCACCCAGGGATCTGACAATCATTTCCCCCAGACTTCTGTTTTAAGCCTAGCACACATTTTTTTGTGGTTATTTTGGAACTATGACAGTCTTTCAGGGTTTTTATTTGTTTGGGTTATGGCTTTTTGGAGGGAGTGAGTGGGGGATTGTGTAAGGGTTTGGAGTTTTTTTTAGAACTTCCTGCAGCATAATCTCTTTGGACTCTGTATCCCAGACAGAGAATTTACTGCAGAACATCTACTTATATCCCAGCCACACAAAGAACAATCACAACAAGAAGTATTGTGCTCTCTGCTATAAACACTGGTAGAACAAAATAGTAAGATTAAGGGGAAAATAGTTAAAAATAGAACTCTTTTCTTTCCAAAGGAAATAACATGATTTTCACCCCAGCCTCTCTGGTCATTGTTACAACAATGGTTCATTTTAGGCCATATCTGACTGCACTTGGAATCAGGAAACCCTGGCACAAATGTGCTACAGCAGCTTGTGCTTTGTTTGCACTGAATGCCTGGGCCAGCACTGCAGGTTTCAAGTGATTTGCTAGAGGTTAACAGAGCTGTTCCAGGGGTGACATTTTTCCTGGAGCACAATTCCAACCATATTCCAGTCCAGAGCATTGGAAACTCTGCAGTCAGGACAGTGAGGGTGGCTTGTTGCAGTTTCTCACCTCTCTGGATAAACTTGGCCATTTTGCACTGGGGCAGGTGCTCAGTGACCAACTGCTGGTCAGGCCTGGATCCCAGCCTCATAAAACAGGGATGTGTGGCAGGAAAGCACTGAACTGCACATTTCCAAGCATTTCTTGCCAGGGAGATCCCTACCATTGACTCTGCAGGAATCATAACTCAGTTCTCAAGCTCTGACCTCTAAGAGATTGGGATTTTTTTTAATCTATCCATCCCCCTTAGCCCCAGACCAGGGTTGTGACCTGCAAACTGCCATCCCTGGAGAACATGGAAGCATTAGGATATCTTACCTGCATCCCCAGAATTCATCTTCACTGCCATCACCACTACAGTGCTTCTCTTCACACCACAGCAAACACAAAATTCATCTTGAGGTTGCTTGCTTCTTTTCTAACTAATATGATCTTTGGATATTCCTGTTATTTTCCCCAGGAAAAAGCTAAAAAGCCATTTCAGGCTGTTTTCAATATCAACAGACAGTAAGGGAATGCCTCTACTCCTGCAACATTAGTGGTGCAAAATCTGCCCCCTCTTCCCATTCCATCTTTGCCAGCACAGGACACAAACCACAAGTCACCTTTCTTTTATATATTTCTAAAGTCAAACCACCTCAGAGGAAGCACAGGAACTGGAGAGAAAACCACCCCACCCTGGTATCACACATCCACATTTCCTCTGATAAGCAACTTATCATTTTCCAGAATCAAGATTTCTCCTTTTTTCCCCTTTCTTTGTCCTTTTGAGTTTGGATTTTTAACTCTTCCATTTTAGAAGAACATCTGCCTGCATTTCATGTTGGTCCTCTGGGTTTGCACCTCCTCTCCATCCAGAATCCCTTCCAGACAGGCTCTTGAGTCCTCCAATTTAATTAATACCCTGCCTTGGGAAGGGGGCAGAACACCCCCTGATAAATGTTCATTTTGAAAAACAGCTTAAATGTTTTCTGCTCAGAATCAGGAGTCTGAGCAACCATTTGAAAAAGTGAGGTGGGAAGTCTGGTCCTTGTCAGAGAAGTGGGTGCTTTGATGGAAACAGGGAACAGCATCTCACCCACATCTTCCTCAGGACTCATTTTAAACAGTGAAAATAAATGTTACAGCTGGGCAGACCCCACCAGCAGTAGAAATTTGCTATATTAAAGCTGTACATTATCTTGTCAGCATGCAGAGCTCTTCCATAGCCAGTCCATTAATGTTAATGAAATCCCCTCTGTGCTTCCCCTGCCCAAGTGCAGTGCTGATTCCATTCTGAGGCAGCAGGCTGCTGGCAGCCACAGCACTCAGCCTTCCCCAGCTGTGTGGGAGAAAGATGGATCTGTTCTTTCTCCAGAGCTGCAGCAAAGTTTCATGCTCAGGGCTCTCTGTACCTCCCAGCTGAGGCTGCTGGAGGCTGTACCTCTTCACTTCTGCATTAGGATTCCTTCCCAGCTTCCCTCTTCCCCAGAGCTGTAGGGGAATATTCTGGCCAAGAGAATGCTCTGAAGACTATGATGCTTGGTCTATCTGCTGGGATGATTTACAAGCATCTTCAAACCTCTGGAATCCTTTAAAATTAAAAAACTTAAAACTATGTTTAAAAAACCCAAGACTGACTTCACACTCACTCCAACCACTCCCTTAAGAAATTCCAAAGGTTGGAATTCACCTGCACTGGAGTTCCTCCCAGCTGCTTAATCACATCAGCAGCTCTGGCAAATGCTTCCCAGGCAGGGGAGCCTGGAGTTCATTCCAGCATGGGGATCCCTACAAAGACATAAAGCTCATCAGCTTTTGAACAAATGGCATTTGTGGTCAGAGACAAAAATAACATCAGGGAGTACCCAAGAGTGACTGCTTTCATTCTCTTAATGCATTTGGGTGATGGAAGAAATCAGAATAGAGTGGTGTGCTGCTTAAGTGACCAGAAGTGAGGGCACTTTGGGGAGGATCAGCTGCTCTCACAACTGGTGTTTCAAAGCACACATGAGCAGGGGCTGTGCACTGACAGCACTGGGAACAAACACCTCTTTCCTTCACCCCTTCCACCAAAGAAGGGAAGTTACAGGTCAGAGTCACCTTATCAGGACAGCAGATGCATTAGCAGAGGAAGGAATCAATCCAGTCAATAAAGGAATTGATACCTGTCTATAGTTAGAAAATGCCTTTTACAGAACAAGCTGTTCTTCTGGATCATTGAGAAATGGCAGAGTTTTATTGAGTTTCTAAACACACAGCTATGTATAATTGATATTGTCTCACTGCCAGACATCTAGAGTGTTTCAGGATTTTAAATATTCCTTTATTTTGCTGATTCCTTCTCAAGAATGGGTCTCACTGCTATAGGGGAAAGAGGAGACATGGAAAAGAGTTAGGAATTTCCTCTATAATGAGCAGGGGACTGGTATACAAAGTTTAAGTGGTGGATACAGTGGCTACTCAGAATCCATTGAGCAGGAAAACAGGATTCAGGCTTCCCTTTCTGACCCTCTGTGGGGTAGCAGGTCAGTGACCTTGTGCTTCTCCATCCTAAAGTAGAAATAATATCCATCCACATTCCCAATACTCACTGAGGCTGCTGGGCAGACAGGCCTTGCACACGCAGAGTACTCTGGAAAAATGCAAACTGGATTTCTTTGGGATCAAGCCCACCAAGAGACGCATCCCAACCACTAGGGGGAAGCTGGTCCCAAGGACTAAAGGGCTATTCCAAAGTAAATCCCATGAAACGTGGACAGACCTGAGCCTGTGGCACTGAGAGCTCCCCTCTCCTGACTGCCACACTGAAGGAGGAGCAGGGAACAGGCACAGCACAGTGCTGAAGAGGAACACACAGTGGGGATCAAAATGCTTACTTGTTATTCCCTTTTTTGAGAAGTCCAAAGGTGGCATCAACTGTGCAGAAAGACTTGGTGTGATGGAGAAAATATTTTCTTAAGGATGTAAAAGCTCACAAATATTCCAAGAAGGAACACCTACATTTCACTTCACCTATTCCTTGAACAGATATTTCATTAAGATGGGATTCACAGCACGAGACAAACTCAGTGGTATTATTCCAAGTAATCAGTTTTCTCAGCAGGTCAAATAAATAATGAACCATGAGCCTTTTGTTACCACTGATGCCATTAAGAATTGAAAATGTTGGCAAGCTGCCATGTTTAATTCTCTGAGAGTATCTATTAAAAAGCAAAAGATACCTAGCAGATATAATCCATACCATCAATACTATAGTCTCTTAGCCCTTCACCTGATCTCAAAAATAATTAAAAAGTGGGATTTTTGAAATGGGTAACTAATTAGGGTTTTTTTTCCAGCTTACTCTCTCTAATATTATCAGAAGTTAAACTTCTAAACACACAATTTTCCAGCTCTTCACTTATGCAGTAAACCTGTTTCTCTGAGAAGCATTCACAGAGTAACAGAAGAAACAATGATTTTTTTTTTTGTTTTATACATCAACAGATAGCAGGTATAAAAGCTGAAAAGGAAATATAACTCTTAATTTTGAAGAGAAGATGAAGGAAACATTCGGATTTTTGTAACAGATGAACATGTGCCCCAGAAGCAAAACAAAATCAAAATAATAAGCACCAGAAGAATGAAGGTGAATTTTGATGTAGTCTTGTTCCTCACGAGTAACAAACAGCCTCAAGTTTACTTCGGTGTTACAGAGCTGTTATAAATCCCATTTTGCACTATTTAAAGTTAGGAACAGCAGTTTGAAATGAACAGAATTTCACTCTTCAGATGCAGCACAAGCTGCATGTCAGCACGTGCCCCTGCTTGCTATTTCTAGGAAAAACTAAAGGCAGTATTTCCAACCACAATTCAATTACAATTAATGTCATGGCAAAAACTTTGACTTTATTACCTTTCTTTCATTTGAATTTCCAAGTAATCCCTTTTTTTCCTCTTGGATATTTCTGAGCATAAAGTGCATAGCTTTTCTTCAGTTGAAACAGAAATAGCAGAAGATCAATACAGGTTTTCATCAGAACAATAACAACAAAATCCAATATGTCTCATGGAACCATAATTTATACTCTCCACAGAGGTGATTTTCTATTGGTAAAGTCACTAAGACTTTCTTAATGAATAAGTTTCAGTTGGGAATTGGGTGAACTCACCTGGAAAAGACACCTGTCCATCACAAACCTCTGAGTTTTCACAATTGGCCATAAAAACATTGCCAGGAACACAGGAAAAAACCCCAAAACATTATGCTTGACAAGCACTACCTTGAAATAGGAAGGTCTCCTTAGTTTGATTTTTGATGCACCTCACTTTACTGACACACCTTTGCACTCAGAAGAAGTGATAAAAAGAAAGTTCCAGGGGAGCTGAAAAAACAGAGGTGTAGGTTTTGGTACTGACAAAGGCTGTTCAACATCATTTCAGGGAATACAGAGTGAGACACCTGCACTCTTTTCACATCCCTTCCACGGGTTTGTCTCACATGAAAACACCCCAGTGTCAGCAGTAGTGGTCACACCAGAAATGCCAGGATTAGTACACAAGGAAACACACCTGGAGCTGAGAATGCTGCAGTACATGGAGAGGTAGAAATTATCTTATTATTTCTACAGCACTTCCTAGAAAAGCCTTAGGCAGCCCAAGGAATAGAGCACTTCAATAAAGGAGAGTGTTTTGTCAGGATCATTAAGTGGATCATTACCCAAGCACCAAGTTCTGCTTCCTTAATTAAGAAATCCCAAATGTTCCTGTACTTCCATGGGACTGCTCCTGACAGCACCCTGAGCAGGACAGGCTCCTGCTCACTTCTGTCCAGAAAAGATGCCACATGAAAGGTTTCTGGAACCTTAATCCAAATTCTCCTTGCTGCATGGAAGAGGTTTGCATGTGATAAAATCACCAGGATTAATCACAGCACAGAGCAGAAGCACCTCATGACCACTGAGCCCGAGGCTGTGCTCAGAGTTACAGTGCAAAAATAGTTCCCAGGAGTTGATAATCTAAGTGGTTAAGGCAGAAAAATCTACATTCTTATTAAAAATAAGCCTTATAGGCACACTATCCTACACATAAATAATGACCTAGCCTTGATTTCAAACTGATTTTATCAGTGTTTTTACCTTCCACTTCAGAAAAATACTACAGTGTGACTAATTCCTCCAGGGAAAAAGAATTAAGAGCAGTCCCTTTCAACAGAAACAGTACCTCTTAATCAATGCTTTAATGTTTTATTAAAACTGCTGCTATTAGGGAAATGGCAGAGCCCAGATTCACACCTTACCCGCAGGTCTCCTTTATGGCTTTGAGTAAACAAACAAGCATTTTCAATTTTCTTTTAATATAATCAAAAAATACATCCTTTGGGCCAGCAATATCCTCTGTCAAACACTGAGGTGTTAAAATTGTATCAGTAATTTTCTGTCTGGCTGCCAAGATCCAGGTGTAATTTAGGCCTATGTGAAATTAAGTCATCCTAATAAATTAAATTAAGGATACATGAGGTACAGTTTCACAATTAAAAAGGAAATTATTGCACCTAATATTTATAATATAACATAAAGAATTCCTACAGTCAGAAGTAGAAAGCTTGGAATTTCCTTGAGTAAAAATTCCTAACTCTCTCAAGCTTGCACCCTCAAAAAAACCAGAACAAAAATGTAGGTAAGTGTCCCAGGCAAATGAATATTGAATCTTAATCCAATATAATATAACTCTAATTTGTAAAAGGCCAGTTCTCAGCTAACCAGGCACGTGCCTTTGATTCGATTTATTTTATTACCTGTATTTAGAAGAATCACTTTTCTCATCAGTCTGGACTTCAGGAAAGCACTCCAAACGAGGAGCTGGTTAAAATGGAGACAAGAATATCCCTGTAGGATGAGACACATGAGCCAGGGAAGAGAAAAATTGGAAAGCATTAGGCTAAAGGAAGGCTGAAATTGATTTCATTTAATAACCTTTGAAATGAACACTGGAGAGAGGGAGGAAAGGCAAAGGAAAGAAGGAGTGCTAATGGCACAGGCCTGGGAAGACTCAGAGCTGGATGGTAGCAGCTGCTCTTCACACTGCTGGCTGCTAATTCTTCTGGATTTGATACAGTTGCCAGAACAAAGTCATGACAAAACAAAATAAACCGCAATTCCTTGCCCCTTCTGAGATGAATTGACAGGGTTTTAACAGCATGTAGATGTCTGCCAAAACACCAAGCCTAACTTGCTATAAACTCCCTCTCATTGTGTGGAAGCAGACGTTTTTAAAGCCACAAAAATGCCTGACACGTCACAGTAATGAGGAGGTAGATGTATTTCTTATCATTTTCGTGGTGAATCCAAACACATGGCAGCCTGGAGGCTGATGCTCCTGGACACTACAATGAAGCAACTTGAGTACAAATCCTGCCCCTGGAAATGAAACAAAAGTCAGTGTTTCTGAAGGCCTATCCAGGTCCAGTTATTAAGGCAGTGTTAAATGGCATAATTAAGGAGCTCCCTTCAATAGCTGATATTCCTGATTGTAACAGCACTGCAGCCAACGGGAGATTTCAGTGCTCAGAGCAATCACTGCTTTTCTGCAAGGACAAAGTGTTAAAACATAGACAAACACAGACAAATTGGTGTTTAAAAGAGAAGATATCATCACTCCAACCCACCTGGGAGGAAGAACATGGAACAACAGATGAGCCAAAATCACTCCTGCCATAAAAGAAGAGTTCCCTGACTTCAGGAAATCTATCCCAATGTTCCTGCACATTGCAGATTACAATAACACACTTCACAGCCTAGTAGAGGTGAAACAAGGCTAAAGCCACAAAAACTGATGGAACACATTCATTTAGGGCAATTTATTACATTCACTACAAGTGTGTTTGTAGAAGCTAAAAATCAAGTCTGTGGCAGCCACTCACACGGGTCACTATGCTAAAAAAGATGGCCATTTCTGCAGAGATAAGAAAGAACATGTGGTCCTTATTGCCAGCTCAGGATCTCTTTTAAAACAATTTCCCCCAATCCGGTTTGCCTCACAATTACCCTAAATCCTGCCATGATTGCTCTCATGGAGCATTCACAGAATTTGGCTTCCCTTGAAGATGTATTTTCCTTCCCCTGGTGACTGCCTTGATTATTGATTTCTGGCTAATCCCCGCAGCTACTAGAGAAAGGTTTTGGCAGGTTTCCCTGAGGCTGCAGACCCCATTACCTTATCCACAGAGCATCCTTCCTGCCCTGAGCCCCAGGCTGGGCCCTGCCTGTTTCCCTGGGCACACCCTCTGCAGGGAGAACATTCCATGTCCTCTGCCTGGCCAGCAAGAAAAGCCACAGCTGCCAGCCCAGCAAACCTGGCCTGGAGAGGGGCCTGGCTGGACACAGAGAATGAAGAAATCCTCTTTTCCCAGCAAAATGCCCTGGCAGAAATCTGGCCCATTGCATCCTTTCCTTTTTGGAGGAGATCAGACTTACTTGAAAGACCCTTGTAACCAAAGCAAAACTGTAATGGGAAAAGTGCCGTCATTAACATTAACACCTCTGACAAAAGAGGTTGTGGCAGACAAGGGGGGTTCTTGTGGCAGAGAAATAACAGACTGAATTTTCTATTAACAAATCGCTCCTCTGAAGACAGGGCTGCCAGCATGGAAGCTGCACTCTGAGTGGCTAAACTGAGAAGAAAAGCTGAAAGAACTGTCTTTGGGCTAATATAATAAAATGTAGAACTAATACCTGGCTAGAACTGCCTGTGTGAACAGCCACTATGGTTAAAGTATTTTAATGTAGTTTGGGGGGATGTTTTTATTTTTGTTTGGTTGTTATTTGGGGGTTTTTAATCAAGAAAAACATCAACTATGGATTTTTTTTTTTTTTTTGTTCGGTTGGTTTTCTTAAGGCAGAGAAGGAAGCACTGGATTACCAGTTTGGATAGAGAAATCACAGAAATATAATCATAAAATGCTTTGGGTTGGAAGGGACCTCACCTACTGCCAACTCCTCAAATTTTTCTCCAAATGAGTGCAAAATCTCAGAAGCCACAAAGGAAATAAAAGAATAAGACCTATTAAGTAGGTTTTTGGTTTGTTTTTTTTGTTTTTTTTTTTTTCCTAATTGGCTATTCTGCTGAGAAGAGGGGTGAAGAGACGAAGAGAGGGTGAATGGGTACAGAGCTCCTCTGAGGAAGAGCTGCGCCTTGTGCCCAAAACTGGCTAAGAGCCCCTTTCAAAGGCACTGTGCTGTCCTTGGTGTCCACTCAGGACAAGGGTGCCAGCTTCTCTCCTCCCTCCCAGCCGAGCACTGGGAGATGCGGTGCCAGGGGCTGCAGCCCTGGGGAGGGCGGCGGGAGCCCGGCCGAGAGCGCTGCCGGGGCCGCCCATCCCTGCTCTGCTCTCCCCCGCAGGAGCCGGGAGCAGGAGCTGCTGCTCTCCCCTGCTCTCCCCCAGCGGGATCGAGCTCCATCCGTGCCTTGCCTGCCTCTCCTCCTGCCCCGGTTTGCTCGGCCCAGCGGAGCTGGAGCTGTTTCCATGCGGAGCTTTATTCCCAGATGGGGAGCGCTGCCGGTTTCGCACCTGCAGGATGAGCAGGTGTGGGCCCGGGACAGGTGATGGGAGAGAGGGGAGCGCTGCTGCTTTGGGGTAAGCAAAGGGCTGATTCCCAGCCAGTAAATTGGTAAAAGAAGCTGAGCTCCTGGTGACAGCGAGTGGCTCTGCTCAGAGGAGCACAACCAGCCGGTCACTGAGATGCTGTCCCCAGGCACTGAGCCAGCCCGCAAGATCTGCTGCTTCTCCCTGGATCCACATGAAAAACGAGAGGAAAAAAGCCACACAAAACAAAACCTTTTTTTCAAGGCACAAATCCAAGGAGAAAAAAAAAGAAAAAAAAAAAAAAAGCAAGCAAGCCAACCAGCCCAGGAGATCAAGTAGATATTCCCCCAGTAAAATTCTGTTAAAATATTAAAAATATGTAGGCATTTACAAAGAGATGGAAACAAAATAATCAGTGGTGCATGGAGATGTTTTTGACCAAGTGCAGCGGAGTTTTGCTTTCTAGCTAAGACACAAACCTGCGGCACCGGGGGGGTTAGGAAGAGAAGGGCTGACAGATTTAACTCCTGCAGCACAGCGGTTTCACCACGATAAGGCTGAAACCTGATGCCAGCGTGACTTTCACACATCAGAATGTGAATCCTGCCACTACCACATGCTTTAACTCTAAACACCAACAGTTAAAGTGGCAGCTCATTTCCATGGCATATCTGGGAAAAAAGCCTCGCTGGAGAAGAGGCTCTTGGTTTATTTATAGGCAAAACAGCTGCTTTGTGCATTCCGTGATCCAGGCTGAGGTCTGCTCCCAGTCCTGCATGTTCGAGTCACCTCGTGTGGATGTAAAATGTGGAGATCTTTTTCAAAGCTTTTTTCACTGGATGAGACCTCTCCTGTGGAACACAGCTCTACTGGGGATTTTCTTTAGTCATAAAAAAAATCATAATTTTTGATGGTGGTGGCAGACTAACCCAGATTACAACTTAGGTTAGTTCATATTAAAAAACAAAATAGTTTTCACAGCTGCCTTTCTCTCAATTTCCCTCCAGAAATGCTCATTAACTGTACAACAAACAAAAGCAAGTAACAGCATCCAGTCAAATTAATAGAGGAGATGAAGATGTTTCTCACCTGCACTTTGGAATGATTCCACTCATACCACCCAGAACTTCCTACCACTGCTCCTTTTCTCCTTCTCTGTTGTGCATCTGACACCCTGCAGCTGAACTTTATAAAGTATTTTTATGTACTTCTGGTAGTTAACACTGGATACATGAACATGTGTCAGTACAAACAGGCATAAAGCTCACCCAGGTTATTACAAATACAAGTGGTGAGAACTTTTCACATTCTCCACATTTGCTCTCACCTGATAATATTCACTGCCACTGCAAGTTTCCATCTCTCTCTAAATATTTCATCTCCTATGGATTCTCACTCTTAAATCACACCACTGAAACAGCCCACACTTCTACCCTCTTATATTTTTATGATCCTTTTAGAGGAGTTCTGTATCATTTATTTAGATTCATTATTGCTTTTCTCCCTTAAAAGCCACTTCATTTAATGCAGCTACCACTTCCATTTTTCAATACCTATATAAATGGGATGGCTGTGTGCTCTGGCACCATGATCAGCATTTTGCCAAGCAGCAAGCTGCAGTTCTGCCAGTCTCATGCTGGAAGAGAAATCAATGACAGATTCTAGATGCTTCATATGCACACAGACTACAAAATGTCAGACAAAAGTAAGCAAGCAATTCATTTTCCCTGGAATTCCAGTCCTGTATCTTTGCCCAGTTCCCAGAAGTCACCATAAATCAAGACAAGACTCAAAGATCAAGTCACCAAAAGACTTCCTATTACTTACAGAGTTTCAGAATTAATCTCTGCAGCATGAATAATCCCAAATGAACTGTCAGCACAACACACTTCCCAAAACAGAACATTTACACACACACAAAGTGAAAGATTGGGAAAAACTGGTTGCTGGTAATTTAGACTTTCCAAATACATTTGGGAATATTCATCAAACGGGTTAAATCTGCTTTGTAGTTTACAGAGGCACACAGAACTCATTCAAAATACTGAATGCTTGCACACACTCAGGTATTAACATCAATTTAAATGATCAGTTTAATTAAAGCAGGCAAGTTTAAGCACAGACAAGCCCTGCAGTGAATCGCTGCTGAACACATATTAAAATAAGACTGAGGAGGGGGTGGAAGCACTAAGCTGTAGCTTTGCTTTTCCTCACTTCTTCCCCCAAACACACTCAGCCTAATCACACAGTTTGTCCAAACAGGAGCTCTGTGTGGCTTTCCCTTCTCTTTGTTTTCCCTGCCTTCCTGAAAGCTGTAACAACTCCTTGGCTCCTTTTCCAGGCAAGGCTGCTGGTTTCTATAAAGGGACTCCAAGCCTGGCAGGCAGCAGGCACAAGGCTGCTTGCAGGCTCCCTGCTTTGCCATCTCTTTCTGCAGACACTTACTCCAACGCTTGCCAGCCAAGCCAGGCATTTTCCTTAGGTTTATCTGCTCCATCTTAAGCAGCAGGTAAGATAAATTCCTTCAGAGACGATTCCAGCCCTCCCTCAGGTGATTCACGCTACATGAAAGACTTAAAAAGAGTTTTTCCTCGGAGTTGCAAGTCAGTATGGCTCACACAAAACGCATGCTAATTTATTCAGCTCTCTTATCTGCCTCCTTTCACTCCCTCAGCTGATACAAGGCATGCCAAGTTCACCGATGGCGCTCCCCTAACGCTGCACTGCTGCTCCCTTCCCCTTCAGAGGGAACATTCTCTGTACCTATTTAGCAAGATGGCTTTTAAAAATAGGAACACAAAATCCAGTGCTGAGCTCAGGACAGCTATGGGAGACACAGCAGGTGCAAACATTCTCTTACACAGCATTTTCTGATGATATGACAAAGGGAAACTTTGCTTGCAAAGGTCTTAGAAGGACTTTCCAGGGTAATTTTCATCCCAGTGTTTTCCAGATATGGTAACCAAAATCCCTTTCAGTCTACAAGTACCAGAAAAAATGTTTCAAAAAGCCAAATTGTACCAGACAAGACTGAGCCTCCTGAAGAGGGCCAGAAGGTGTCTGTGCCTCTTTAGTTGCAGGTTGTCCTCAAACTTCCCACTTTCACCTATTTATTACTATCACAGAATTCCCAGTTAAAGATACAGTAAAAAAATAGTAATAACTATAAATAAAATAAATACTACAAAGCATAATAATATATTTATTTATATAATATTATATTTATGTATATAATATTATATTTGCTTATATGATATTATATTTGTTTATATAATATATTTGTTTATATGATATTTATAAATATTATATAAATAAAGATAGAGTAAAAATTCTGTAATTTAAAGGCAGCACAAGTTCAATATGTGGAAAAAAACTCAGAGCAAACACCACCTAATTTAACATGGAGCTTACTGAAATGTGGAGTTGGCTCAGACAGAGCCTTACAAGCAGACATAGCCCTGTACTTGGTGTGATGATTCAAAAAGTCAGCTCGTGGTGTTTCTAGACAAAATTTTCTGGATAAGAAACATGCTACTGTATAATTTGGAGTTTTTTCCTCTCTTCCCCGATGCTGAACACACAGCAATTAATTGGAGATGAGCTTTTCGTTTTCTAGGCACTGCAAGTTTTCTGTGCTATTGAATGCAGCATGTTAAGGTGGCAGTTGGTTGAACCTCTTTCAAAGCCAGCCCAGGTCAGCCTACAGCTTTTCCTGCTCTGCAGGTGCTTCCACACATCCCTTGGCTTTTTCTGCTCAATGGCAGGAGCAGTGGGGAGCAGGTTTGTTCCCTGCAGAAGCAGGCGAGGTTTGGAGAGGATACCCAAGGCAGGGGAGGGCAGTTAAAGATCCACTATCCACAAGGAGTTATAAAGTGAAATTTAATCTCACTGCGAAGCACTCACACCTCAGCCCAGCTCTCAGAGGGTCACCCACCCCTTCAGAAGGCAGCACACTGATTAAATGACCTTATGCACTCCTGCATGAGCATCTTTTGTTCCTCCTGGGGTGCTTTACAAAGAGCTCCGGTGCTGACAAGATTTGAGTGTGCTTTGAAGGTGCTTTGGAATTGGTTACAAAAGGCTCACAGACAGCAACGAGCTGCACGAGGCTCCTGGTTGAAAAAAGAAAGCAAGGAGAGGGGAAATTCTCTCTCGCTGAAGAGTGAAAGATTTTTACCATAAAACAACAAAGTTGGCATTTTCAAATTACAAAGCAGTACCTTGGAATGGAGTATAAATGCTATTAAAGATTACTAGAAAGAAAAAAAAAATTGTTTTGCCAAGCATTGACAGTGATTATAAGTCATTCACACATCTTTTGCTTCTAATTTCTCCCTACAGTTTTATTTTCAAAGACCTCAGACAGCTTCTTGCTTCAACATTTTAGCAACAGTCATCTCATCTATTCCAGCCCAATAAAGCACCTAACCTAAGTCAAGCTCAGCTCCATTTATTTTACTATCAGGTACAATAATGTTGCAAGCCAAAAATTTTAAGGCAGATTTTGGAACTAAGACAATGCCTATTTACAAACAATTATTAACTACAGCCTCATTACACAATTCTTTCCACAATTTTCAGGATTGCAAACTGTCTTCCTAGTCTTATTTCCTTAAACTGTACCAAGCACTAAGAAGTTCTTAGTGGCATCTTTCAAGCTAAACACTCTACACCAAAATTCTCTCAAACTACATATTTCTTAAAAGACAGAATGATTTAGGCACATCAGTGATTTTCAGATTCCTTGTGCTTAAAATATTCTGTTGAACTACCCAGAATTCAAGAAGTTTTAGAGATGCTGATTTTACTAATGCTGACAAATATGGCAAAAAGCCAAATCTGCCTCCTCCAGGCTCCAGAAGGTCAAAGAGGAATAAATGGAGCCATGAATCAGCCCAGAAATGTGGGATTAGAAGATGTGCAATCAAATCTTAGGCTCATTAGAGTCATTACAGCAAAACTCCCATTACATGTCTTCAGTGGGTACAGGGGGAACAGTTTCCATCCAAACCATCCTGATTAAGGCATGAACCACTCCAATTTCCAGTGCTGCAAAACACTGGATCTCAAACCCAGCAGAGCAAATTGCTAAATCCTCTTTCAGGGCAGCTCTGCTTTATGTTGGCAGGCAGCATGCCTGGAGTATCAGACATTTCTCCCTGTCTCCCATTCCCTTATTTGACTTTGCTGACCCCAGCTGAGATATGGGGAATCTCATCTCACCACTCCTGCCCAGCCCTCACTGTTCCAGACACCCCTGCTGGGGTGGGGGGATTTATTTACAGGCACAGGAGTTCAAAGGGGTTTTACTCCTTTTTATTAAAAACCAGATTCTCTCCAACCTGCAGGTGTCAAGACCATTCTCCTGCAGTTCCTGCTCTGCTTCATGGGCTACTCGTGCTGTGAACTTGATTCATCATTTTGTTGGCAACTAGAAAAGCTTGTGTAATCTGCAATTCTACTCAGCTGTGGACAGAAACGAGCCCAAGAACTTACAAAAACTCACATTAATCACTGCAAATTCATCAGCAACAAATATAGAATATTAATTTAACTTGCATGCTATTGAAATAACCTGCTAAGCATTAATATACAGGCAGCAACCAGTGGCTTAAGGGAAATTTTTTTATTCTAACACATCCAGTAGAAGCTTAAAATCCTTTTGCCACCTAGCAGAGAGGCCTTTTTGTGTTTAAAAATAGCACTAAGAGAAAAATACTTTGATTCTTCAGCACCAAGTGCTTAAGGATGTTTACAAGCAATTGATAAAGCCCAAGAATCCAGTGCAACACCTTCTGAGCAGTTACAACCAGAACTTGGACCTTTTTTTGGTGCATTTTTTAACCAGCTTTTTACAATTCTTCTTACAAAACCTTGGTGTTGTGTAAGAGGGAGAGGTCTGATTCCCACAAAAAGCTTTGTAGCTCCCCTAAAAGTGGGATGAGTGATCCTGCTGGCCAAGCAGCCCCAGACAAAGGAAGTTTGTGCAATGGGTGTCTCCAGAGTGATCCCAAACATGCTGTCACATTGTGGGTGGCAATTTCTCCAAAATATACCAAGGCCATGGGAAGGGATCCCAAGGATTTGAGGGCTTTGGATCAGTTTTGTGAGGCTCTGAATTATGGAGGAGACTAAAGTCAGCATGGAACCAAAACCATTTCAAGGCTTCTTCCTCCCAACTATTGCTTTGTCAGATTGGTAGACAAACACCTATATTTAAACTATATTACTAACAAACATATTTTCTCTGGATGCTCTTATCTTTTGAATAACCTCTTAAAAACAAACAAAGAACTGTATTTTAAGGATGAATAAATAAATTGTTGTTATTGTTATCATCATCATCATCATTGTTCTTATATCCCACTGATGAGGGTAATAGCTATGGAAAAGTGTCAGGAAAAATGAATCTCAATAGCTACAGAAAAAGTTCTTCTTTAAAATCTGAAACTGATCTTTGCACAGGCACAATTCAAAAATTAAAGCAACTCTGGACTGGTTTCAAGTGCTCTTACCAAGGAATTTCTGTTACAGATGTAGCAGTGATAGCTGCAAATGTTTGGAGAAAGCAAATTACAACTTTAATAACATTGCTGTGCATGGGTACTCACCAAGGAACCAGCAGAGGTACATTTATACCATGCAGGGACAAATCTCTTTAAATAAGGACAGCAGATAATTAAAAATACACATCCCCCACTGGAACAGGCCCTGCAGAGGGAAACAGGGCTCACTGTGGACAAGGAGAAACATGAAGATGAGTGAACATGCAGACTCTGGAAAGACTAAATCACCACAAGAGGAAATTGGTCAGAGAACAGAAGCTGCAGATGTGGGGAGGGCGTGCATTTGTTCAATTTCACTGAAAGACTGGTTTTCTACAATGACTTTGGCTGTTGGCTGCTTTAGCTCCAGTAGCAAAACAAAAACAAAACAGGAAATTCCACAGTTGTCTGAATCAAAAAGTGCTCAGAAAAAAAAAAAAAAAAAAAAAAAAAAAAAAAAGGAAATTACATAAATTTGAAGGATTTTGGCAGAAATTCAAGCAGAAAAATTGAGTCCAGTCAACTTTTTGGTAATTTCTTTAAAAATACTTTTAAAGATATTTTTCTTATTGGTATTTTATTTCAAAGCTTTGTTGAGCTTTTAAATCTTGCATTCACAGAATTGAGCATAACACTTTGGCTTTTAATCACTTAAAGCAGTTGCTGATAATGTTTTAGCAGTTGTTTTTTTAGTATTAAGTAACTTAAAACTGCAAAATCTCAGTGAACTCCATTCACACTGAATGTGTGACAGCATCTGTCAGCCTGAATTAGTTTTATTTTGGGATCATGCTGATCAGAATATACCAACAAAGGCACTAAAAAGCATCAAAGCAAAAATAATCACCTCTGAATTAGGAAGCCTCTTCCCATCAGTGGCTGCTGACATTTCCTTGAGGACTGGGCAGGTGGAAGCCTCACTGGGTTGCATTTTTTGTGTGCACTCAGAGCACTCGTTGACTTCAACCAGGAACAACAGAGCCTGAAACAGGGAGCACAGAGGGGTCAACACCTGTGCAAAACACAAATGGAACAAGCAATGAAGCTGCACAATGTCTAATGACTGCAAGAAAAAGTCCTGTATTCCTCCTTGGTGTGTAACTTGTTCAAGCACAACCCTGAAGAAAATTATCAACGTGTCCTTTATAAATGTCTTAACACTGCTCTCACATAAAATGTGCCAAAAATAGGTGTTGCATGTGAGTTTGACAGGAAATAAGTTTAATGACTACTATTTTTTCAGTTTCCATGATAAGTAGCAATGCAGGACCAGGAAATTTGGCCTTTTTTACTGTCCCAACAAGACAAAAAGATCTTTCTCTGTAAAATAAAGGCTGGTAGATAGATCTAAAATACAGCTGAACAATAAAAAAAAAATCTTCTTTGCAGCTAAAATACAAGACAGAGTTACACAGGGTGGGGGGAAAAGTAAAAAAATCTAAATCTTCCTATTTGAACAAGCACTTGTGTGCCTGTGTTTCACCTGCCAGCTCCAGCTGTGCACAGCACTTCCACACACTCCACTCACAGGCTGCTCCTATTGTCTTGGGGGACTTTTGTTTAGTCTGTGCTAGATGGCTGCATTTGAAAACCATAATAAAAGAGAACTCTGCATTATCAGAACTCATGCCAAGCAACTATAAAGAATTTTGATGGCTCTTTCATTTCACATGAGGCTTTAATCTGCAACAATTACCTTCTTCCAGCATGTGTGTGTTCTCCTTTGTGACTGACAGGGAATACAAAAGCCAGGATAAGTGATATTGGCTCCGAGCCACGTGGATATGACCTTTTCATGGAAATGTTTAAAGCATTGGCTGCTCCTGAGGTTTAATCCTCAGTTCCTCGCTTGGGCAGAATGCTTACAGGTCTGGAATTTTTCCTACAGTGGTTAATTGAGGGATTTACTTCTGCTCCCTTGCTTTCACAGGCAATATGATCACGTGTGGCTGACTTGAGCACACACCTTCATGAGATCAACAGAAAAGAGGCAGAGTTGCACTTATTTCTGCATTTCTTTCATGTCATCAGGTGGGGTGTAAAACATGTGGAACAGAGTTAACACGCTCCAAATAATGCAGGGTTCTTTGCAAAAATATTCTTCCAGTAAAATAAGGAGTCCTTGTGTTTGTGTTCACCACTAGGCCAACTGCTAAAATGATTATTTTAACAAGATGTCACTGTAGCTACTGTGTTGTTATAGTAACTTCTCGTGGGTTTACATTCTTACTGCTTTAAAACTGAATAAGTAAATTAGCAAAAGATGAAAACATATTTTACTGAGACAATTCAGTGCCCATTACCACAAATATTCAAGAATAATTTCTAAATGACCACTAGGTGCCATTTTCAGATTACGGCTGATTTGTAATTTTTTAAATTTTTTTTAACCTCTTATCCAAATGATCCTAGAAATCCTTGGCTTCTGAATTATCTGGAATCCAAGGCCGCAAACAAAACTCTTTGATTCCACGTGGCTGTAGATACAGGCAATGTCACAGCAGAACAGTTGATGGGCTTGTACATAACCAATAAACCTCCCCAAAAGAATTCAGGGGAACCCCAACCCACCTGTGCTACCACTGAAAATCACCCCTCTGGGAAAAAAAAAACCAAACATTTAAACTGTGTGTTAGTCAAGAGCTGAATCCCTGCCTGTCTCTGACTGAACTCAAAGCTGCCACTGAAACAGAGACAAGTTGTTCTGGAGCAGTCCTTCCCTCCAGGTAGCAATGGGATCTGCTCTGCTTGCAGGAGAAAGGGATCTTCTCCAAATGCCTGCCCTGGAGGGAATTTCCCATGCAGTGTTCACAGGCTGCAGTGACTGACACTGCTGCTGCAAGCAGAGGTGAGAGTGGAGTGCCTGCAAGATGTGCCACTGAGGCAGCCCTGCAAAGGCACAGCAAAATAAATTCTTTTGCTGACCAACTACAATTACAACATCTAAGTAGATTTCTCTATTTAAAGATCAAAATATAAAGAAGAATATATCTGAGGTACTTTCTTCTTATATCAAATTTTTGTAATTTACACAGATTCCTGCTCTTCCAGAAGGAGCCTTGCCCAGCAAGGGCCAGAGGGTGATGTGGCATAAAAAAGCCAGGGGAATCAGATTAGGGTAAGATTTAATTCTTCAGTTTTAGAAACAAGTTGTGTTCCAATTGTCAAAGTTTACGTTTAGCAATGCCCACTGAGGAGTGACACTGGAATGTGGTTAAAAGGGACTGTTCACAGCTGCTCTTTGTCCTGGTCACCACTCTTGGTGCGAAACTTCCTCTCTAACACAGAGTACCAGCTCCTTAATGAAGGTTTTTTTCTGAAAAGCTTGAACAGCACAAACATTTAAGAGGCTTCCGAAAGCTCAGAATCGGCTTTCACACCCAGAACACTCAGTGAGGCATCACCCAACCTGACAGCAGCTGTTCCAACCTTAAAATTTCAAACCTCTGTGAGCTCCTAACCCCACTGAAGGTGGCAGCTCTGCATAAAGCTTGGCTTGGCCATTCCAACACAATGAAGCCTTAAAGCTCAGCCCCTTCCCAGCATTTCAGAGTGTGGCAAACTGCTTTGTAGGGTGGCAAACTGCTTAATAGCAAGTTTGACACTTAGGAAAATATTTGTGGGCTAATTGTTGAGCAATTATTTATTCAAACCTGAGTTCTGGAATTTCTCAAAACTTCTCAGGTTTTCCTGTGGTTACTCAAACCAACAATTCCTGCCTGCACCTTTCAGCTGTGCTGACACAACCAGAGAAGAGAATTGGTGCCTATTGACCATAGAAATCACACCCACAAATTAAGGACAGTGCTAAACAGACCATTTTGTAGGTAATTCCCAGCCTCATCTTCTAAATAAGCCTGTGATCTACTGCCAAATTTATTCTAGCATTGATTTAAAGGAGTTGGAGGCTGGAAACCCTTAATGACTCATTTTTAGTGTATATTTTTATACAGATGCATTATTGTTTATAAACGTTGTTAGTATAAAAGGACAAGTAAATGCCAGATACATGGTTTGGGGGAAAAAAATCAAATCATCAAATTTCTGGAACATTCATATGAACTCTTAGTTGCTTTAGCCTAATAATAATTAAAAACCCTCACAAATTTGGTAATATTTACCAACATTTAACATCTCTGGTGACACTACAACCCATCAAATCTCTGAAATTAATTATCTTGATGGAAATTAATCTGATAAATATGCAAATTGCCAGACACACCCATGGACAGGGTGAGAGGAAGGTTCTGCCTGTATTTTATTTTACTCCTATGAACAATCTTTCATTTAAAGTGTTAAACTTCTTGCTAAACACTTGTAAATGTAGGATACTGAAATGATGAAGCAGCAAACAAACTGTAAATCAAAACCTTCAGTTTTTCTCATCATCAATAAACAGTTTTGCTCATGCAATGGGAAACAAAATGTTACATCGTCAAAAATCTGTCCAAATTTTTAATAGTATAAACATGATCCCTCCAGTGAATAAAGTTCATGCTAGAACATAGCTCAGGGGAAATCTTCAGGTTCACATTTATCAGAGACAAACGTCAGGGGTTTTGTGCAAATAATTTATTTTGGTGCTCAGAAATTCGTAGTGCTGTTAAATAAACACAGGGAGTGTCCCTGCACAGGAGCCTAAACGAATTTGGGAGCTCCTCTGTGATCTAAAGCAGTTTTCTTGTCAGAAAGAGCAGGACTAGAGAGTGGTACTCCAATTACACCCATATTATGTACTTGCTCCCCAGGATCCCAGAGAGCAGGGAAGCAAACACTGAATTACTGAGCTGAAACTGAGAACAAGTCCTGACAGCCTCACTCTCTCCAGCTAAACAGGGGGAAAGTCACTGGAATTCAGCTGCTCTTTTCTCTCAACAGGAGTTGTTTTCTATGCAGCACAGAAGAGACTTGGACGTGGGAAAACATTCCAAATATTAAACACTTCTGAAAACTCTCCAAGGTGTGTTTCTGTGCCTAAATACATCTCAAAATGTGACCACTGAACACCACTTTTAATTGGGCCTTTGACAAAATCAAACAGGAGGAAAAAGGGATTTTTTGAAGAAGTGATATGAAAACTTATTTACTGCAAAACAATAATGAAAGTTGGTTTGTTGGGGTATTTTTTTCTGAGAAAAAAGGATGCTCAGCACCTTGATACCCAACCTCTAAGTGATCCTTCAAAGATGTGCACAAACAGAACACCAGTGGAACTTCTTGTCTATCTCCCTTGAACTGGTGTTTAAGAGATATCACAACTGGGAAATTCTAAAAATCTTCAATCCAGTTCTGGCCACATGAAAAGTGCTGAAGCTGAAAATACCACACTGACTCCAAGTGTATTCTCAAGAGCAGGGCCCTGTACATAATGATCACAAAAATGCAACACTGGGTGTGACTGCTCACATTTCTTTTGTTTTGGTTTGTCCTTGACTGCTCAGGAAGAAAACCACTCCAATATTCTGTGCCATTACTCATCTCAGAAGGGATTATCTGTTACAACAAGAAAACTCCAGCCATGCAAAAACCAGTAATAGTAAAGCAAGCTGGAGGGAACCTACTGTTCATGCTATAAAATGAGTATATAAAATTTCTAAACAACATGTGCTCCGGTTCTCAGTGTGAAAATAAATTTCCCAGCAGGTTTGCAGGCTCAGAATCACAGAGAAAGTAAAGCATTATGCAGGTATAACACAGTCATATCTGAGTATAATGACCACCTCAAGCCATCAGTATTTTTTCCCCCTCCACTGAACTTTATTCTATTGCATCCTTTTCTCTGTTGTCAGACAAGAACTAAAATAAAAGATTTAGAGTAGATGTGCACAAAAATGCCCTATTTTCTCGCCACAAACTTGCGTATAAATGAACAGCAAATAACAAACCCCATTTATTTTGTCAAAAATAGCAGCACTTGAGGACTGGGAGCTAAGATACATATGAACCAATGTGGTGGTTGGTGACATCTGAAAATATTTTTTT